CCCCCACCCCCCCCAAACTCACTTATAAAAAGGTTACACACATTCCACCTTGTTCCTGGGTCTCCAGTTTTCTCCTCCGGCATTCTTGAAATGTTTCCAAAGGTATGGAAATTATCAGGTAAAACCAATATCAGAGCGCTGTTAAGGTGATAGTCATCCCTCATCACCTCCCCATGGAGACTGAAGCAGAGACGGCACCTCAGGCACCACCCAGGATCGCCACAGAATGACACATCACTGCTACCCCTCTACTCCCACCTCGTCCTGGTGAACGCTGTGTGGAGCCGTGCAACCCCAGCACTCCTGCCCCAGCTCTGCAGGAGCCTAAGGTCGGCTCAGGGCAGGCAGGACTCCTCACCCCCTGGAGCCATGGAACCCCCTGGGAGCTTGTTTCAAGTGCAGGTCTGGTGGGCCTGAGACCCTGCATTTCTAACCAGCTTCCGGAATGCTAAAGCTGGCCCTTGGGCTACGCTTTGAGTAGAACCGTTACAGACAGGTTCTCAAAGTTTAGAGTGCAAACTGCTGCATCTGGGTATGACCCAAGAATTTGCATTTTTTAAGCTCCCAGGCGATGCTGAAGCTGCTGGTGTAGGGATCACACAGAACTGCTTCAGGGCCTTGTGGTCACTGGGCAGCTCAACCACCAGCTCCAGGAAGCCATCCTTGATCACCTCCCTTTCCTAACGCATTGTAATTAGGGTTCATGCTACTGCATAAGAGCACTTGAAACATTTGAGAGGGGCCAAATGCATGCATCTGTCAAAGTTGTATGCTTGTCCGCATGTCTGCCAACTCGATCATCACTTCCTAAAGGACAGGAATGGAGTTTCTTTCCTTCTTTGGTGTCCCTTCCCGACCCTGGTGCCCAGCGCCAGAACATGATGAAGTTGCCCACGTGGTGGCACCTCTCCTCCCCGCTCATCACCAGCTCCAGCACCATTTCCAGAAGCAGAGATGAGTGGGATCACCCAGTGAGGCACCCTCTTTTTCATACCAATAGCCTGGGGCCTGGGGACACTTGCCACAATACACAGGACTAGCGGCCCGTCTAGGACTCCTCGCCCAGCACTGCTGCTCTGGGACACTGCTTCTCGGACTGTTACGCATCTTGCTCTGAGCTGGCTGTGCATGGGGTGACCAAAGAAAGGCTCTCGATTTCATTTTATTTTGTTGTCTTGGAGTTGTATTTAATTTAATAGGGAGCACTGTAGGCAAAAGAAACAAAATCTTAAGATCCCAAGAATGAGACGTAAATGAT